CGAACCATTATAGATATATCTGGTAATATACGTAAATGTAACGACTGCATCTTCATTTCGCAACGTTTTTGATACAAATGAAATTGAATCGACTTCGTTCGCACGTGGAAGCCATGGATCTAAGAACCTATAAACGGAGCCCACGACGCGGGAATTACCAAATTTGTGTCAGATGGGCTCTATCTTTATAGTATATGCGGCGATCGAGTCTTTCCGTCGCATACCCTATGAATCTAGATAGACCATAGTTACATTCTATACGCACTAACACCTTACTTCGCGGCGTGCTGTCGAGTTATATGTATAGAAAAAGAAATAGCTATACAAGCTTTGCCTACGTTCGGCTGTTCAAAGGTTAACATGTTCAAGAAAATCTTTTAATTTTGCGCCGCCTCCGAAAAGGTTGAAATGTATTTAATGTACTACCTAACGAGTAAATAGGTTTCATTCATATCTGGGACGTAATTGTATGATTGAATGAAATAGAAATTGCTTCATTAGGAAATAGAAATTATTTTATACTTTTTAGTGCATTTCGAAGTCGGCGTATTTTTTTTCTTAAAATTATTTTATTTCACGCATTTTAGTGGAATGGGAGGAATTGTATAGGATACTGTGAGACAGTTCTTCCGGGCTTTTTTTTTTGTCTGCGTAAATGCCATGAATATAATTATGTAAAAGACAACATGGATATTCGTTTTTCAATTTTTCGCTAATATCACAAAAACTCAAGTTTTCCGTCAATTATGCATAAGGAAAAACTCGTTCAGAATCATGCCACTAATAACGTATTAGAAGGACATAAAAATCGTGCGAAGTTGGTTTCAAAAGTTAACAACAATTTTTCGCTAATATCTCGAAAACTAAAGCTTTTCGCGAAATTTGTATAGGAACAAAATTGTTCAGAATCATGTCCGTGATAAGATATTAAAAGCGCACTGAAATCGAGAAAAGTTTATTTCAAAAGTTGCCGGTTGTCTTGCAATAACAATACTTTGCAATTAAAAAATGAAAAATTTTTGCTAATGGTACCAATGGGGTGTCAGAACCTACCAATTGCCGGTTTTTTTGCAATAACAATACTTTGCAATTAAAAAATGAAAAATTTTTTGATAATGGTACCAATGGGGAGTCAGGACCTACCAGATGCAAAAGGTTTCGTTCCGATCGGTCCACCCAGCTAGGCGCAATCGGTGAACACATATAGAAAGAAAAAAAAAAATATACTGATCGAATTGAGTAACCTCCTCCTTTTTCGAAGTCGGTTAAAAATTACTACACAACTTCATATAAAATTTCTTTTTATAATAGTTTTCATTCAACAAGTCAACAAATAACAAATTAAAATTAAAATAAGAAACAGATAAAGCAATAATGACTTTAAATAAAATATTTTCAAATCGATAAAATTGTACAATGCATGTTTCGTTATTATGTAAAGAAATAAAATTAAGAAGTATCTAGTTCCTTAATGATAATAGAACATATAGAAATACAAACAGAGTATTGTCGTTACACGTACGGGATTTTCAAATGGAACCTATGCATACAGCATTAAAAAGCATATGAGTACATGACTTAAAAAGGGATCCCAAAATAGAATTCTATTGTTATGATGTTATTATGTAATAGCAACGATTGTTAACAGAACCTTTGGTGCCTTTAGTATTAGAATAGAAAATAAAATATACAAATCCATATATCATTTCATCATCTGCTGTTTTCTTTTTCTGTTACCTTATTTTCTTTTCCAATTTTCTAAAATTGCTATGATTAAAATTAATCCATAGTTCAGTAATAGACTCACCTATGAAAAATTGCAGCAACACAAACGGACACTAAATTAGGAAGTACCCTCGGGTGAGGACAATCACTTCCAGGTCCGTGAACAGCAGCAACATAATCCCTAATTATTTGTTCACCCTCCGTGCTCGCATGCAGAGCAGCTAAAAATACCTGAAGCAGCCTTCTCATATCTGGAGATTTTCCAAAATCTACGGTATGCTTCAGGCATCTCGTGATAGCTGGACTGATAGAGAAGACTAAAGGCGATTGCGGATGTTGCTCAGCCAATTTTGCGAGAACCTTCGCCAGGCATGCTGGAAGAGCAACTTTGTCCAACAGAGGGGTGACTACGGAAAGAATGGCTTCTGCCCACTGTTTGCGATCATTTTGATATCGAGATATCTCTTCGTTCGATTTTTCAGACATCCTGTCCGAATCATCCGTGACGGAATCATCTAAAAGTTTTGCCGCAGCTTCCAATGGTGCTGCAGTCACTCTTTCGTCCTGAAGTGAAGTCCAAAGCGCAAAATCTACCATTGATTTTAGCTCCTTGATGATTGCTTCTTCTTGTGTGCTCAACGATACTAGAAGCTGATACTTGAAGATACTCCTCTGCGAATTAGAAAACAAAGAAAAGAAACAATTAAAAATTTTCAAAATGTATGCCGTGTTCCTTTCGAATCTAATATCCTAATTTAATGACATTAATATTATAATGATATAATATTATACTAACCAGGTAAACTAAGATCTCACTCAGAGAATTCTAAAGAAATTTTCGTAAGTATTTTACTTTTTAAATTGTTAAGTTCAGATGGTAGGATCTTTTTTAACAAAGAAAATTTACATCCTTATGAAATGGTCAATTATAATACACAGCATTTATGCTATAAGTTAGTGTAATAATATTATGAAACAAATATGAGGTCCGTCGAACCTCCATTGTAATAATGACATAACTTTATTCATAATTAAATATTAAAGTGCTATTTAATTGCAAATAATAACTATGTATTCATTTTCTCTATAGCACACTTTTACATAATTCGGTTAATACATTGCGCGTTATATGAATATCATGCTACAGGAAAATTTTTCTCACATAACACAAATAACTTATAATAACTTAATCATAATAATTATTATTATATCTATTATTTTCCAAGTTTTATTAAGTAAAGCAGTATTTTCGTGCATTTTATTACGTACAGTGTTATACAAAGAATAGCGCAGTATAAAAATAGTAATCTTTGACACATTATAAGAATTGAAGTTGTAGGAAGTCTAATGTCTGATACTGTAGTATTTGGAAACAAACATTTCATGAATAATCTTCTTTTTTAATTTTTGTATCTTTAGTAATATTTAGAGATCTTTATTTTTTTCGCGCTTCCGCACATCTTCTTTGAAAATAAATACATATGTATGTAACCACTACTTTTATTTCTATCTACTAAAAACACAAATTGTAAATTTTGTCACTAATTATAGTCTTTGAATCAATAACGAATATTCTTGTTAGTCAAAATCTATTGATTCTTATTTTTCTATGTCTACCTGTTTTTATTCGTAATTTTCTTTCCATCATTAATTTCGAAATTGCCATAACATTCTATTAAGAAAATTCTAATACGAAAAAATTGCAGACGGATTGAACAATATGAAAACATTTACTTTATACAATACGTACAAAGTAAGCTGGCCCGAGGTAATTGGTCCGCTCTGACGTTTATATTACGTTGCGCTGAGGCGAGCGTTATCGTTATCGGTCTGTCGCTAATTCCTCAACTGTTCTTATCACTCGTCATCCATGATTTTCATCGGGGTTGAAATTGCTCCGCTACTTAAGTCCGACCTGGTTTCGTACCTCATTAAATTTTGAACATTGTCAAACATCTTATTAACGTAAGCCGACGTAATCAAACACTACCAAAATTACTACTTTCAAGGTTTATTCAAAAGGTCCGGGATCACAGAGCACTGTGGTAAAGATGGACAGACTCAGGATAACTGAACTGTTTTGGGGAAATGTCCGGGGTTTTTATGCCCTTCGAAATACAAACTATGACGCTTAGATTGATAGGGCGGTTGTGACGCATGGAGGATGACGACGGTGTTGGTTTCGGTTATCGGTGCCCTTTGAAAGTATACGATGACTATGGAGGATGAGACATCGATGGTACTGTGTCATATCATAACAATACAATATGTACAATGAAAGTGCATAGTATTTCTTGTTGATCGATTTTTTAACTATTGTGTATAAAAAAAGGTACTAACAAGGAACATCACCCAAACGTTACACACCGATTTTAATAAAATTTTTGTTTTAAAACTTGCAAAGACATTTCACACGTACTTCTTTTAGGTACGAATATTTACTTTGAAATGGTGAAAATGTTCTTTAAAGTTGAGGCCGAAAAAGCTATTTTCTCAAATATATCTGAAACTATTAGCCGTAGATGTGTAAAATTTGACGAAAATAGTACAACGTTTTTAAGGAAAAATGTGAAAAATAATATTAATTTTTAACATATTACAAAAAAAATTTGGAAAAATTCGCTTGTGCCATATTATTGACCTTTTAAAATGAAAAAATTTACATTTCGAATTTTTCATTTAGAAATAACAGTTGCTGAGATATTTGAAAAAATAGTTTTTTCAACCTCAACTTTAGGGAATACTTGCACCACTTCAAAGTGGATATTCGCACGTAAAAAAAATACGTGCCAAATATTTCTTCAAGTTCTATAACACATACAAATTTTATACAAATCGATATATAACGTTTGATGAATGTCCTTTGTAAGAAATAAACTTAAAAAATCACAAGTTCATTTAAAATTCAAAAGTAAGATACTACACTGATCAAAAGTATAAGTTAGTTTCATTTCTAACTGATTTACTATTGTGAATAATATTCTTGCCAAAAAAAATAACTTCAATTTACATTAACTTAATTTCAATTGAATTAAATAGTTGTAAGTTACAGATAATATAATGATATGGGAAAGTTTCAATGCATCTGCGAAACTCTCAACTGTAAAGATAAACAATGAAAAGAATAAAGGAAGTTTGGAATCACAGTGGACTCGTTATTTTTAAGAACATGATGAAATATCATTCATATTTTTAAAAGATAATATTCCTATCGCGATGCAAAGACACAAATGTCGCTTAAAAGTTATAATATTGAAACTCCAAAATAGTCGAAAAAAAATATGTAACGGTTTAGGAATTCAAAGTTGTTGGGGTTATTGTTTGAAATAATTTTATACACTCTCTGTACGATTACAATATGTTATAAGAACTGGACAAGGAGTCAAGCATCCATTGCTATGGAAAGCGATGCCATAGTGGAAGTTTTTAAAACCAACGTGGAAAAGCGTAGATTGATTTATTGCACAATGATCATTGACAGGGACAACAGCGGATATAAAAAAATTATCGACGCAATTATTGTCGAAAAAATTTTTGTTGCCGCTGAAAGCTTTGCGATCTTTGCGTTACAAAGCAAATAAAACTCATACATGTATACATATTTGACTCTCGTTTGGAATTACATTTATCTTTGACTAGGGGCGGTGCCCACTGGCCGCTTCGCGGCCCAACCCCTCGAGGCGCTTCGCGCCTATTTCGTGTGAATACGCTTCTAAAGTGACATGGTGAGTGGACCTTGGACTGTGGAGTAGAGGGGGTAGCGATCCGCGTTACAGCGTTACGCGTGACACCGTTACCTTATGATTTTATACTATAGAGATAGAGAATAGAGATATACTATAGAGATAGGGATATAGACTATAAAATAGATAGAAGATAGAGTAAGAATAGAGTAAGATAGAGTAAGATAATTGTAATCTCTCTCACGTGCTTTCACTCTCTATCACTCTCTCGATCGTACTACCTTCTCCCGCGTCTTTGGCTCGGCAACCCACATTATGTCCCCTTTCACGCACATCTAGCATTCATCTGTTTTCTAGCTCTCTTTCTCACTCTCACATTCTTTCTCTCTCTATCTCACGCTCGAACATTCTTTCTAGATTCTTCCAGAAATCTCTCGAACATTCACACACATAACAATAAATCCAATTACACTCTCACAAAAGTTATCAGTATTTTAAACAATTAATAAAAATTAAATTTAGAATGTTAATAAAGACATGGAAATTTAAATTTTTCAATTAATTAATCAAAATGGAGTAATAATTGATCCTTAAAAATAATGTTTGTTATAGTTAGTTGTTGAACAGATGATTTTCCTGTAAGTGAACTTATACTTCTATCGAATCTACAAGTAGCATTTTCAAAAAAAAGAAAAAGACAATTCATTGTGTATATAAAAATTGCAACATTTCTTTTCACATCGGAGCCTTTTTCCGAATTAAGTATGATGCATTAAGAGAAAAAATCGATATTACGATATTAAACGATAAGCTAACTTTAAAAAATGAACTTGTAATTTTGACCAGCCATATATTGTATTTTAATGGAATTGTGTATACAAGTTCAGAAAATTTGAGGCCTTTAGGTATAGAAAGTGGTAAGAAAAGGCGAAAAAAATGAAACTCGTAGCTTATAAACGACGATTTATTCCTATTATACATATCAAATTCATAATAATCGGTTGCATAGTTGTTTAGTAACTGTCCGTTGCAGTTAACTTGCACATGTGACTTGGTGATTCTTAAAAACGAATGATTTATACAAAAGAAGAAATGTATAAAATTCTGTTTTAAGCTTAAGAAAACACTATTAAAAGTAACACTATTGCCTCGTAATGGCAGTTATTTATTTCGAAGGTGTATGCTATTCGACTTGCTTTTGTTTTTTGTATCTCTATGTGTTAGAGTGAGAAAATAATATACATGTTCTGTCTTCTTTTCACTAAACTGTTTGGTCAACCGTAAAAATGATTAGTTTTGGATATCTTACTCGACAGCCGACTTCAATCAAAGAAGCGAGGATAGAAATTTGCTAATTTCGAAGCTCGAAGCTATTGCTTGTTTCTAGGCAATATTGCACTAGCAGACATTTTTCTCTACTCTCGTCTCAAATAAATACTGAAAGAGTAATGTTTCGGTACTAAAAAGGACATAATTAAAAAGTCGCAGAACAGTTATAACAAAATCTGAAATCTGGCATATCAGAATGTATTCATAATTAGAATCAAAGTATTTTGTACGTACTGTTATAGGTTTTGTAAATTCAAATGTACAATATACAACAAAAGTTCCCGAATATCTTTTGAACACACCTTGTACATATTTTTTTAGCCAGATCATTTCTTCACGCTATTTTACATGAAAAAATATTAGGGTGGAATGTCCAAGGAATCAGTAATTTATGTAATATTTCAAATTTTGTGATTTCTGCAATTATACTCTTAACTTTTTAACAATTGAGAATTTATAAAATTATACCTTAACACTTTTTTACGTAGAATAGTTCGAAGACTGAATCTGCAATCCCCATAAAAAAATAATATGTACAATACTGATCAAAAGTTTGAATTTTCCGGCCGATGTCCAGTGGAGTGGTTTCAAACAGTCAATTAGGAGTGTCTGGTGACGAAGTCAGGACTGATTTTTGGGGTCGGGGATTTGGGACGTTTTGAGAACAGATATGAAAGATAAAATAATATATATTCATACAGTACATATATGTAGGATGGGAGCAAGAAGATGAGAAACGGATTAAAGTTATAGTAAATAATTTAATAAATTGAAAGGAATACAAAATTTGATAGTTCACGTTTCTACGGTTCGGCCAAGACTAGACTGTCCTTTCGACGCTGTCGCGTTTTTTTATACTACGCATTCACACTCTTTTGTTTCACACTCGTACATCACACACACTCATACCACGCAAAAATTAATTCCCCTTTACCGAATCCCACACTCGGCCGTTCCTGACCTATCTTCGGTCCCCGATGATAAATCTAAATACGGTTTCATATAATCTGAGGCGGTACTAGTTATTTTTGGTCCTTCATCGTCCCCTATTCGAATAACTTCGTATCTATTATTTCGTTTTACGCGCGATACCCGATACGGTCCTAGAAATTTCTTTTTAATTTTCAAGCCCGGTCCAAACTGAGTGCGCTTGATCACTACAAGATCCCCTTCTTTATACTCTCTGGCTTTCGTACATGTTTTATTGTGATTTCGCACGTTTTCCTCTTGAATCTTTATGATATTTTGTTTTGCTAATTGTCTTAATTGGTCTCGTTCTTCGTTATACAATTCTATTGCTTCTTGCTGGATCAGTCTCTGAACTTCTAAATCTTGTATATGCCGCATCCTCGTACCGATCAGTACTTCAAATGGGGTCATGCCTACGCTGCGTTGATATGTACTGTTTATCGCTTGTTGTAC